TGTGTCCCCAACTAGGACTTGGATGAATTTTAAAAGATCACGAACTTTGAAATCCGAGGAATTCCACAAGATTTCTGGTGGAATATTTTTGTATGTAGAGAAATTCATCAAAATCTATCCAAATAAGTAACAATAGAAATTCATTGAATGTTTGAGAACATCCTTATTTTCATGGATTTCACAGATATCCAAATCGAAGTCATCTGAATTTTGACGGAATTCTAAACTACATAAAAATCCTCCAGAATCCAAATCGGGGACACCCCCATAAATCTATTTTACTGTCATTTTGAAAAAATTGACAGGAAAAACGTATTAATAGATGTGTTAATGGTAATAATCGTCAAAATGATTAAGTGAACAACCCTTAGTCGAACATAGGGGTGTGCACCGGTACAAAACCGGACCGGACCGGAACCGGTTAGGACCGGAATCGGAATCATCATTTTCTATGGACCGAAGACCGGACCTGAATCTAACCGGTCCGGACCGGTCCGATCCTAAATTTTTCGGACCGGTTCGGTTCTGGCCCTATTTGACCCGGTTTTAGAAAAAGACATTATCTTAAAGTGTTTTTAACCGACCCCAATTTTTTAGGGATAAGACTTGGATGTTGTTGTTGTTGTTGTTTCAAACTATAATTTTATGTGCGGATATGCTAAATAGACTAAATAATTGTTTAGCTCATTTATTAATTATGGAATACAGTCATCAAAACTATTCAATCGTAACAATTAGTTTCTCACGGTAATTAAAACTGGAATCTTTTGTGTATATTAAAATGGCAAAATCTATTGTAGAGTAATAAAAACTAAATTACGTCCAAAAATATACTATATGTAAACTACATGCACATCTGCAAATAAAGAAATAAATAAAAAGCAATTTGGAAAAATCAAACAAATATAAACTACGATCATAGTATGATAGTAGTGCACACCTGCACTGCTGCACATAAATAAACAAATCAAAAACAAGTTAGGAAATAATTAGACACCAAATATGCACTCCGTATATATTCACTCCCGTACAAGAACTTCGATCAATGATACGGAGTAAATTCGCAATTTATATTCTGGGATCGACATACCATGAGGATGGTGTGCCCGATCCCAAAACGTCGTCGTTCGATTTATTAAAAAATTAGGTTGCATCTTGGGATTAACCGATCGAAGATTTCCGCAGCTCAACATTAACGGATTTTTCTCCTTACTCTGTCATCTCTTCGATACGTTTTCTAGGCTTTTTCAATGGATTTTTCTGTCGATGATTCTGTTCTTGTTGATTCTTCAATTGGATTGCGAGATACTTTTGCTACACGCGATAACATCATTCATTCAATTGGTGACAATGATTTCGAAGTTGATCAAATGATTGATGTTGAATTGATAGGTAAGTATTAATGTTGAATTGAAGTAGTTGTGTGAATTTCGTTTATTTGTGCTTGCGGTATTGTCTAATATCTTTTGTTCTCTGTTTTATACGATTGCTTGAGAATTTGGATTGTATGAGTATTCATATTTGCTGATTTTACATTCAGGAGAAGAAGATACTATTTCAAAAACTTCTAAATTGTTATATCTTCTTAGCAGAGGTACTTATTCCGTCATGTAACTTCAATTGTATTTAACTCGTGTCTCAATTTTATGTAACTTGTGTTACATGATATGTAACTTGTGTTACATGATATGTAACTTGTGTTACATGATATGTAACTTCAGTTCAATTTAATGTAACGTAGTTCCAATGTATGTAGTTGTTGTTTGTTTTTCATATATATGCTTTGTAAATTGTTAGGTTCATTGGAAACTGATCATCAGTCAACTGAGAGTAAATCACTTATTGGGCTTAGTGTCAAGTGTGAACAAGATGCTTATAATCTTTACAATGATCATGCTTTTGAAAATGAATTTGGTATTCGTTGATACAAACAGAGGTTTAGGAGTGGCAATGTAAGTTTGATTATGAAGTCTTACTGTTGTTGGAAAGAAAGGAAGAAAGAACAAAAAGGTACTGAAAACAAAATGTATACGAAGTTAGATTATCATTCTCGTTGTAAAGCGAAGTTACAGTTTTCTATTAGTATTGATGGTGAATGGACTGTTTCAAAGCATATTATTGATCACAACCATGCTTTTTGTCCAATTGGTCAAAGACACTTGCTGAAATCACATAGAGGCATTGATCGTGAGTATCTTGAGTTTATTATGTTGATGAAGGAGAGTGGGACAAAGGTTTCATATGTTCACAAGATGCTTCAAAAACAGACTGGTGGTGTTAGTGCTCTTGGATTCACGAAACGTGATGCTTATAACGTTCTAGAATCTGAAAGAAGTAAAACGTTTGATGGTACTGATTCAAACACTTTGATTGGTACATTGAAGAAAAGGACTGAAGTGGAATCTGATTTTTCTTTGATTTTGAGCTGGATGACGGTGTACTGAGTTGTTTTTTATGGAGAGACGGTCAAACAAGATCCGATTATGAGAGGTTTGGAGATCTAGTTGTGCATGATACAACTTACAGGACTAACAAGTATGACATGATCCGTGGTCCGTTTATTGGTATGAATCAGCACTATAAAACATAATGTTTGGTTGTGGCTTTATGTTGAACGAAAAGGTGGAGTCTTTTGTTTGGTTATTTCAGACTTTTCTGAAATCTATGGGTGGTAAACACCCCATCAGTTTCATGACAGACCAGTCATTTTCCATGACAGCGGCTATCAAATCTGTGTTTCCTGGAGCAAGACATAGACTCTGCACTTGGCATATAGATGAAAATTCAAAGAAACACATCATGCATCTACGCAAGAAGTTCAATTTTGTTCCTCTGTTTGATTATGTTGTGAAGCGATGTGACAGAGTTGCAGAGTTTGATTTCTACTGGAATGAGTAAGTTATTTGTTTTTTTATGTAACTTCTTAATTATTTGATGTAACTTTTTCAATCATTTGGTGTAACATGTATGGTTTTCACACGTAATCTTGTCTTCTTTTTAAATCTGTTTCAGACTGAATAGAGTTTATGAATGTAGTGACAACACATGATTGAAGAGGTTGTACAGTCATAAAGAAAAGTGGTGTCCTGCTTTTTCAAAGGATTACTTCTCTGGTGGTGTTCTATTCTCCTAAAGAAGTGAATCTACAAATAGATCCATATCTAGAAGACTTACAAAGACTACAACATTATGCGTTTTTTCAAAATGTTTTGTGATGTTGTTGATGAAGGTACCGTTGAGATGGTACCGTTGAGATGGTATTGCTACAAGACAGTTTGTTGTCTCATGCTAGAGATTTGTATACCCTTGAGATTTTCAAACTGTTCCAAGAACAATATTTGAAGGGTATGTCACATTTTTTAAAATTAATCTCACACAATTGTAATGATTATGAGTATCATGTTTGGTTGAATGGGGTAGATTTGATTACACACAACATTACTTTTAATCAAAATGACAACACAGTGACATGCACTTGCAAGATGTTTTCAGAAGTTAGCATTTTGTGTAGACACATTTTGTGTATATATAATGTCCATTGTGTCAAATGTATTCCCCAAGTTTATATACTGTCTAGATGGACAAAGGCTGCCATTCTGTCAAATGTTAATCTTTCTCTTACGCAAGGAACCGATATTATGTTTGGTAAAATATTGGAAGATTCTGTTTGGAGAGTGCAAATGACTAAGAAATTCAACACAGTATTAGGTGCAAGTGCTGGTTTTCCTGAAGCTAGGCGAGTATGTGAGCAAGGATACAAGTCTATTAAACATTTTTTAGATATTCAATGAAATGCTTCTGTTGTGGATGAATCTGCTTCAAGGACAATATTGGATCCTCCACGCTCTCGTCCTAAAGGTCAGCGAAATACCTGAAAGAGAAGTACTGTTGAAAAACAGTGCAAAATAGTCAAAGCTCGTTGTTCCAAATCCCAAACGTTGCCTGCAATTCAAAAGCAGTTGCTAAATCTATTGTACAGGTATTTGTTTATTTTTTTTTTATTTATTTATTTAATGCATCTTTTCTGATCATTACCTTTTGTTTTGTTTAATTCTAGGACACTGTTAATTTCATGGTTCCACAAGGTTATCTTGCTCATCCAGTTGGAGGAATGACGTCCTTAATGCATGTGCTTGGATCTCCGCAAGTTTTTGTTCCATACTTCATGCAATCGAATGTTGTGAACCAAATGCAGAATTAGTTATAGAGATACACATGTTTGGCATTTCTTGTTTTTTTATTGTACAAGTTGAAGAGTTTACATATATTATTGTGGGTCATTACATTTGTAGCAACCAAAGTTACATTTGATTTAATGGAATATATAGTCTTTACTGTTCGTTTACAGATGTCAAAGAGCACTACTATAAAAACAATACACAATCAATATTGTTTACTCTGATTTGCAGAATAGTGAACACAATCACTATTGGGTAACAGTTGTTACACTCTTTTTGCCTTGAGTTACATGGTCCTGTAACGTGAATTACATTTGATGTAGTCATTGTTTACATCAGATGTATATTACATGTATACCTAATGGATTTGATATAGGTTAATATATTAGCCTATAACATTTCATTCATACATAAGTTATATATATATGTGTGTGTGTGTCTGCATAAAACATATATAAGGAGTTTACATCAAATTATCATAAACCAAACATGTAAGTTGCATTTTACATCATAATATCTTAAACCAAACATATAAGTTATCCATTGCATCACCAGCTACTGCATAAAACCAACAAATGTTTTAAGTTTATCCATACCATCACCCCCTCCATAAAATCAACAATTTTTTTACAGTAATCCCACCAGATTAATCAATTACATCTTAAGGTACTCTTTTGCTTTTTTCACAATATTTTCCCTTTCACTATTAAATTTGGACAGTAATACTTGAGCTCCATACATCAATCTAATCTTCTGAAGGATTTTATTTTGAGCTTTGATTCTGTCATTTGTAGCAGCAGGTGCAAATCCAGAATCCCATGTGTGTCCTTGGCCATGATATATCTCCAAGTGGCGCAAAACAAATATTCCACAGTCAACAGTATTGCCATTATGTCTCCATGACATAAATAACATTCTGGGAATCCAATTTCTGGGCTTTCCATCTGAAATCTTCACTTTCTCACAAAAGACTTTGAATCCATCACCCTATACAAAAAGTTACATTACTGGACTAAAATAATATTGAATAATATCATTTGTTATTTCCAGAAAAGTTGTACTGAATTTTTACCATTTTCTTAAAAGTTTCGCCATATTTGTCCTCAAAGATCACCCAGTCTGGAAGCACGCGGTTGTCAATCACATCAACAATGTTGCTTTTTGTGTAAAAGCAGTAGATATAATAGTGCCCAGATTTGTGTATTGGAAACATTATCTGCAATATACATGAGTCATAAGCATTTCATCTTTCACACTGACATCAGTTACATAAACCAAAACAGAATTTACATACTTCATATCAGGACTTACATCCTTCAACACCTGCAGTTACATATTATTTTACATCACTTGTTTTAACTATATTGTTAAAACAATATATCTTACACACTGACTTACATAAAACAATACAGAGTTTACATAATTCATATCAGAAGTTACATCACCCAACAGTTGCAGTTACATAATCATATATTTAAACCATAAACACTTGAACTATGTAAATTCAAATATTAATGACATTTTACCATATCAAATGTTGTGATATCTGCTCCTGTTTCATTGAGTTCTTTTTCCAATCTGTCAACCACATTTTCGTTTGGGTTACCAGATGCAAAATCGAACATTGCCTGCACATTGAAATTGAGTCAATCCAATCAAAATATAGTAACTGAAGTTCTCTGCATTATTTTACAAATATACAAGAAAAAACTATACATACATATACTTGGGTTGTCGCTATGAAGGCACGCTTTGTAGTCTTATTTGATTTTTCTCTGTCATTCAGAATCTTTGCAAATGCATCAATGATGGAGTTGTCTATATTTTCTTCTTGAAGGGTCTGAAACTCCTCATGAGTGATAAAAATACCTCCCTCATCTTGATAGACACAGTCACTAACACAATAATATTTTTCACACAAACTGAAACAGTTAATTATGAAATAATGTTTTTATTGAAATAATACATTATATAATATCAGACTTTCTTACTTCTCAAGTTCTTTTGACATGCCATAGTCAAGAACAATCTTTTCATCCCTGCTCATTTCCTTGCATAGCCTTCTGTTGTTCTTGAGAAATGGTGATATGTAATTCACACCTACATCACCTAACTTTCTAAGCTTCCTCTTTCTTGTGTATGGCTTTAGCTCATCATTCCTTTGGAAAAAACAACAAAATGTTAACTTCATTAAGTTAATTAAACACATTAATGAATTACATAATAAACAATTAACACTTACTCTTGTTTATTTTCAACTTCTTTGTTTAATTCTCCATCTGCAGCAGTTTTGTCTTCTCCAGTTATCCCAACCTCTTCATTCTCTTCTCCAGTAGCAGCACTTTGGTTTACTAGATCAGCAGCAGTTTCAATTACCACATCTTCTACATCAGGAGCAGTTTCAGTCATCATATGTTCTACATCAGCAACATTTTCAGTCATCACAGCTTCCACATCAGCAGCAGTTTCAGTCATCATAGCATTTTGGCCCACTTTTGTAGTGCTTGCACCCTGAGTCATGTTAAACTCAATGCCTAAATCAAATGAAGGCATTGCAAATTTCAGAAATGTTGCTTTCTCCAGTTTCTCAAGCGCTTCCATAACTCCGGGCTCATTAAAAAAATCATCATCTTCTTCAAGTACACACTTCTCTGATAATCTTTCTTTCTGAGCCATGTTCTGATCTCCATTTGATTGATTAATAAAGTAATCAGCAGTTGTCAAATATATCTTCCTCAATATATCAGAATTTGGGAACTTCTTAGAAATGGTTGACGGTAGCTTGGAAAACTCAACAATTGTGTCACTGAATTTTTGGGCGACTGCCACAATTTCCTTCACACACTCCTATAAAAATTAAAAATAAACTAGAAATTGTCATATCACATACATTGTAATATAGTGGAATCATCATTCAGAACTTTACATTCCGCAACACCTTAGTTTACATTTCGATAGGCAAGACTTAAATGTCATAGTAAAACAGTTAACATCATTTGACTTAGACAACTACAATTTACATCTTATCCTAATAGAAGTTACATTTTAAACAACATGTGTTACATATTCTTGAGCACAATTTACATCATGTAAAATTCAGAAATCTAAACTCTTCAAGTACTTGATGTAAACGATTAATAAAACTTACTTCCTTTGTCAACAGCTCATCTTCTTTCTGTTCAGTTTCTTCTTCTACAGGCATGATTCTGGGCTTCACCTTGTCAAGTCCAAATCCCAACTTCCTCTCATCTTTCACTCTTTTATCAATTCTATCTTTGGACCAGAATTTTATTGTAGAAAAAACATTGTCCAAAACCTGTCCTTTGAATTGCACCCTATCAAAGTAACAAATCATTAGAAACAATAAAGGTGCAGTAAACATTCTTGATGGATAGGCCTGCCATTCTTCTCCAGCATCCATGAGTGACTGTCTTGTGTATTTACACCAGTTCAGCTTTTTGATTTCACCAACATTTACTAAAGAAAGTAAGATCTTGAAGTTGCTCTTCACACTCTGGTTGCCTCTTATCAAACAAGAGACTGTGAAGACAACAAAATTCCTGATGAACTTATCTCCATCATCATCATCCTGAAGGATTTTTTCTATCATTGATGTTGTTTGTGGGCTGCCTTTCTCAATGCCCCACTCTGCTCTCCATTCTTTCAGCAGCTCAGTGTAGTCTTCTGTTTCATTCTTTCCATTCGCTTCGACAACATCTTTCTCTCCTTTGGGCAAGCCAAACACAGCTTTAACATCATCTTCTTCAATATCTAAGAACTCTCCACTTGTAAGCTTGAGTTGTGCAGATATTGGTCTCATGTTTTCCAGTAGAAACTGAACAAAGTCTCCATGGAACTTATCAAAGCTCAGGTGTAGCAAAGATCCAAATCCTATTTTCTGAACAATTGTCTTATGTTTTTCACTTAATCCTTTGATTAGCCTTACAAATGAAGCATGTCCAACTCTAGTCCTCAAATTTATTGAAGCACCACCAGCAGCAGCAGAAATGTGCTCCATTATTTCCCTTCCAGACTCTTATTCTATTTCTTGTATAGCACGAGTCTTCCTTTTTCGCGTATTGTGTGCACTTGTTGTTGGATTTTCTTCTATTATCATTTGTATAGGTGGTGGTTGTTCTTTTGGTGGAATATTATCATCAGAGTTACCCCTGTCAGTAATTAATTTGTATATGATGCATATCAGTAATTACATTATTCTTATAGAGCAATTTGTAGAACAATTATACTTACATATTGACATGCATACTTTACTTAATTCATAGCAGTATTTACATCATTTAAGCACAGAAATTGAGCATTTTGTTTCACAATTCCAGTAGTTATATAAGTTTTAAGCATTGAAACTCAAGAATTCCAACAAAAATTGCAGTTACATCTTAACATACACAATTTACATAATTCATAGCAGTAGTTACATCAGTAATTACATCATTCTTACAGAGCATTTTGTACACAAATTGAGCATCTTGTTGAAATAAACCAGTTATATCTTAACATACACAGTTTACTTGATTCATACCAGTACTTACATATGTTTTCATAGCAGTATTTACATCATTTAAGCACAGAAATTGAGCATTTTGTTTCACAATTCCAGTAGTTATACAAGTTTTAAGCATTGAAACTCAGGAATTCCAACAAAAATTGCAGTTACATCTTAACATACACAATTTACATAATTCATAGCAGTAGTTACATCAGTAATTACATCATTCTTACAGAGCATTTTGTACACAAATTGAGCATCTTGTTGAAATAAATCAGTTATATCTTAACATACACAGTTTACTTGATTCATACCAGTACTTACATATGTTTTCATAGCAGTATTTACATCATTTAAGCACATAAATTGAGCATTTTGTTTCACAATTCCGGTAGTTATATAAGTTTTAAGCATTGAAACTCAGGAATTCCAACAAAAATTGCAGTTACATCTTAACATACACAATTTACATATTCATAGCAGTAGTTACATTAGTAATTACATCATTCTTACAGAGCATTTTGTACACAAATTGAGCATCTTGTTGAAATAAACCAGTTATATCTTAACATACACAGGTTACTTGATTCATACCACTACTTACATACGTTTTAACGATTTTTAACAATAAATGCAGTTACATCTCTTAATATACAGTACGTTGAAACTCAAAATTTGTAACAACAATTGAAGTTAGATCTTAACATACACATTTTGCATGTTCAAATTGACATCTCAATAAGACATAAATCACATTATTCAATACTCAATTTCTTTCGTTTCTGAGTTTGACTTGGAATCTATTAGATTACATGCATGTTGAAATTTACAGCAGGATATCACATAAAACAAATTGTTAGATGCTCCTATATACATTTGGAACTTGATAAAGTAAAGTACATTCTATACCTCTCAAGTGATTTGCGTCTAGCCTTAGTCATTGTGTTGATCTGCAGAACTTTGTTCTTTGTTCGGATTCCTTACTTTTCTGTCAGACGGAATGCTTTCTTTTCCTCTCGCAAGTGGATGTACTTCAGCAATGAAGTTTTGTTGAGATTTTGTCTGATGAAACTTTGAAGAGAGAAATGGTGGAGAAAGTTTCTCGTAAATGTTTTTTTTTTGAATTTGAAAAGACACTATTGAAGAATATGGGGAGAATTGAAGCGAATAACTGCTCGAAAAAGAAAAAACGCACCGCTAAGAGAAAATCGTTTATTGATTTGTGCATTTTTCGATTAAATAATGTCAATGTTATCGTTTTGAGGGCAGATGCAGGATGTTTATGGGCCTGTACCACCATATACTAACAGGAGTAAAATCCATAACCGTGAATCCGTGATATGCTCACATGCTGTAAATTTGCATAAATCTAAAGAATATCACGGTTCAGACTTCAGAGTTCAGAGTCATCCTCAAGAGATAAGAATGCAACATCAATAATACTAATCTCATAAACTCCTACCTCTTTCTCGAAGTTCTCCTCACGATCTCATTCCTGGACATAGTTGCGGATCAGTGGATTACGCCAGGGTTCTTGCGTCTGCCGGAATTTCTATTCAGATTAGCTGATTAGGGTTCATGCGTGTGGCTAGTTGCTGATCATATTATATCCATCGCTAGACTACTCTCCTTCTTATTCCAATTACGTAGCAGTAAGATTCCAATCTTGTTTTTTTGACTGTTTTGAATCGCTACACGTTTGTCAAATGAATGCTCATCTTCACTCTAGGCTTTGCGTTGTTTTGTTCTTAACTTTTTTGTTTCTAAATTTGCTTCATTCATTATGTGATCTTCGAATTGGTTCAATATTCCTTTATAAAATCTCAGCAAGTCTTAAATTAACCTTTATCTTTAGAGTAGATTTTGAGCTTGACAAATTATTTGTTGCCTGTCTGTAAGCTTTAATCTTTAGTGTTCTATATGCCGTTTCTCTTGTTAATCATTAGTGGTTCTTGAATGTTTCCACATGCTCGTTCATTTTACTTTGTGTTCTATGAATTCGTTCTAAACTTCTCACACTGAGCAGGTACTAGACTTTATTCTTAAATGAGTTCAATCTTTAATGAATGTCTTAATTTAAGCTTTCATGTTTAATTCTCGGTGATATGTGCAACTTTTCTCTTGTGTTGTGGTCTTTACTACGATTACATATATTCCTTGAGCTGGTATATGAGGTCCCCTTCCATGGGTTGAAGTATTCATTCTCCTATTATAAATCCAACTCTTCTTACAATTGCATTCACCATTAGTGTGACCGTAAGTCTTTTAGATCTTAACTATTGTCTTTGTGTGATTGCATTCTATGTACTTAAGTAATCAGACATTAGTGCATAGAAGAACGGGAACTTATAATTGACATGAGTGCTTTTGCTTATTTTGTAGTAAAAGTTCTTAGATTATTTTTAAAAGGCACCATCATAAGTAAATGTTTTTGTTTTTTCACTTTCTCACTAAAGCATGGCATGACTCATCTCTTTGGTGTTTTTTTCGAATTATAGTTTGCATCATCATTTCATCATTTTCATTTACCCCAGTGCCGCAAAGGCTCCCACCTACGGTGGGGTAAGGGGGGGTCGGATGTACGCAGTCTTACCCCTATACTAAAGCACAGAGAGACTGTTTCCGGATGACCCATTGTTTGCATGCTATATCAAAAAATATTTTAACTTAACACAGGGCCAACACATTCATTCCCCATATTTGCTTATGATCATTCATGTTCTACAATTTAAAAAATTATTCACTTGTTTTCTTTTTAAAATGCCTTGGGTACTCTATTAGTTTATCATATAAAATTAATTGGATCAATTGACACCAGCTAGGATTGACTGATCATGGACGGTAAAATTAATGAAAAATCAGATGAAGTAGGAGTTAATTGTTATTTAGACTTTTTCAAAAGTTGAGGACTATTATTTCATCCACAAAAACATTATTGGTAGTGCCTAAGCAAGAATGCCATTTTTGTCATTGCATAACAGAGCTGTGACTATAGTAATTTATTCAGATAATCTACTGTCCATGAATAAATCAACTGAAGAAGAAAAATAAACTTAACAAACTATTAAGTTGATGTTATTTGTGTATTACCATGATGTGTTCTTCTCCAGTATTTATCTTATCATTACATTCTTTCTTTATATCTTTTGCTACCAGTAGTTTTCCATGGTGAAATATGTAGTATATTAATTCATTAGTGAAGAAACCTGTTTATATTCACTTGAGAAATTAACACTGAGACATATTTTAAAGTCGTTTAGAGTTAACCACCTCATATTTATGATGTATAGGGTCACCTTTTTTGTTTAATTCTTCATTATGATTACCTGAAGAATGAAGAATGCAACACTGCAATACTTTTTTTTATTTGATAAATAACATTCACTAGCTTTTAGCTACTCATGCTGTCATGCATGTAGTAGCTAACATTCACTAACCTTTTTTTTTTACATTTTCTAAACTAAAGTTCTAAACAAAAAGTAATATTGTAATAATATCTTTGAATTGAAATTCTTTAATTTATATTCTATGGCTGTTTTTTTACACAATATTCTCTGTTGAAATTGGAAGAAAGTCATATTGGATAATTTGAATACCGTTGGATTGTATTATTGTAAAGTGGGGCTAGGTGTAGCTTATATTTTTCACTTTTTGGATGGCTCAAGTAATAAGCAGTTGATTTGGTTTGAAACAACTTAATCGGGCAATCAAAATGTTCAAGACTATAAAGACATACGAATTCTAATATTGATTCTCCAATAACAAGCTCACATCTTAGAAAGCATGCTAAGATGATTTGGTTTGAAACAACTTAATAAGCAGTTGATTTGGTTTGAAACAACTTAATCGGGCAATCAAAATGTTCAAGACTATAAAGACATACGAATTCTAATATTGATTCTCCAATAACAAGCTCACATCTTAGAAAGCATGCTAAGTCAATTTATATCAGTCTATTTAAAGTTAGAATCTTGGATACTTACACAGGTGCACCTTAGTTAGGCCTTAGAAGAGTCTCAACCGGCAGAAGGGGTGTATATTCATTTACATATTGTTAGTTTTGTCAGTTGTGGTTGTTTATTTGGCAAAAACATTTTGAGTTTGAGTTTGGCTCAATTTGGCAGTAGTGGTGTTCAGGTTCGAGCTCAAACCTCAACGAGCTTTACACATGAGGGCTGGGGTTCAATTAGATAGATATTCAATGTTTGATTAGAATGTAGGAGTTAAGCTTATGTTTTTAATTAGCTCATGCTCGAATTATTCAACTAGTAATCGATTCGTTGATAATCCTATTTAAATTTAGAGAGTTATAATAAAGAAGTTTAAGCATACATACATGCTGACATGCATCACTGAATACTGTAATTATTATCCTCTCTGTAAGTAACTTCCATTATATTTTGCAATGAAATTTGCTTTTTTTGTTGAAATTCGTATTTATTGAATTGTATGGTTCCGTTGAATATGAGTGTTTGAATATGGAATCAAGTTCAGACTTGAAATCCATTAGACCATTACTTGTGTGCAGTTTCAAAATTTTCCAAAATCTGATCTATCCTCGAAATTGGATTTTGAATGTTCAGTTTTTGTCAGATCATATGCTCATAATCCCTCCGTCCCTAAATAAACATCCCACTTTCCTTTTCGGTCCATCCCTAAAAAAAGCCCGCTTTCTCTTTTTGGTAAACAAAACAATGCAAAACAGTGTCAAAACAGGACCAAACAGTGTCATTTTCTTAAATTGTGTATTCAAAGTGGTACTTTTAAATTGGGATGGCGGGAGTATTATTTTACTGATTTCATTGTTAAAAATGTTTAATGCTAGGACAAAATTGCTCTATTTAGATTTTAGGGGCACAAAGGGGTCTCCAGCCGCCGTGGAGAGGACGTAACTGAACGACATCTTTTTCATATGACGGCTTAGATTTGGCAAATCTGCCTATAAAGGTACAAGTGAAAAACCTTTTATTGGCCTTGGGGTTGGGCATTCAACCTTTTGGACCAAGAAAACCCTTTTATCCGACCATACCAACGAATTCAGAGGAGAAGAAGACATGGCGGCGAAGCAGGTTTATCGTCTATTTACTTCAATGATCACAGAAGCTAAGCCCAATTCATATACGATGTCAGAGTATTCACCAAGTCGACTCATTTGCTCATCAGCTAAGAGATTTCATGTCCACAAAGAGAATCGCCAAGATCTCGCTGAGTTGCTCTCAGAGAAGGAGAAGGAGAAGGTTCAAACCGAAGATGGGACTATTTCCAATCAAGAATCTGAAAACGAAGAGGACGGAGGAGAAGATGGTGGTGGTGATCGCGTGAATAAAGAAACTGGAGAAATTGGAGGCCCTAAAGGTCCGGAACCAACACGCTATGGAGATTGGGAGAGAGGTGGTCGCTGCTCTGATTTCTGAAAAAGGTTTGTGCTTTTACCTTGATGATTTTTCAATAGACCACCGTATTAAAAGTTGGCCACTTGGCCATCCAGCATCCTGCGGCAATCCACCACCATGGCTTTTCGTTTTTTCTCTCTGGTTGTAATGCTTTTCAATAATGAATACTCGTAGTATATTACTTCGTACTTCATAATTTCATACGGAGTATATATCATTTGCATAATCAAATGTCTTTATATGTTTACTGTCAAATTTAACATTATATTATTTGTGTTGTGTTCCTGTACGTCGGTATGTTTATGTAATTTCTTCAAGTTCATTTGATGCTTGGAAAGTTCATTTAGACACTTTATCGCTATGAAAATAAAAGGTTATTGAAAAGTCAAGCATGTCATATAGTCATCCATAAGGGAGTCGTAAGACATCCCAAGAAGTGCAAAAACTTTGCAAATTTAACTAATTGGAACACCCTAAAATCATTCAAGGAGTATATTATAGCATTATATAGTTCCAACTTCCGAGCACCAAGACTATTTAACTAATTTGAGCACCTTATATTTAAGGAGTATATAATTTTAGAGGCCGTTTGATTGCACTGAAATTGGTTGAATCGACATGTTCCGTTGAAATTTATGAAGTTCTGGTTGAAGTGGTTTAGTTGGTTGATTCTGCTAATTTATGATAAAAATTATATTTAAAATGTTTTTTATTAATACAATTATATGAACTTTAGCCAATACACTCAAAAAGTAGCTCCAATCTTAATTTTCTTATTATTACACAACTCAGCGCGCAAAATCACAATTCAACCACCCGGTCGACTCTCGTGGTTGGTCAACACAGAGGAAATCACAAATAAAACGGTCAACATGTAAGCATGTCAGTCTAGCCCAATACATTTCAGCCACACACAGTGGAAATATAATGGTGTGGGTGCCATCAGTGTGACTAGGGATGGACTGGGATCAGTCGTCCCGACCCGGGTCTGACCCGACACTGTTTAGGCCTGACCCGACCTGACCCGACAAGGTAAAAACCTAGGCCAGGCTTGAAACTCTTAACCCCCCAAGCCCGTCCAGTCTCGGCCCGATCCTGGTCCACCCCCTAAGCGTGATGTGCACGTGTAACATTTACTCCCTCGGTCCATCTATTCTATTTTACCCGTCTTGCATGTTTTTGGTTCTCCCAAAACAAGTTTCGTATTTTCTATTTTGAAAAGAAATATGCAGTTCACATCACTTCATTTTATTAATGCTCAAATCCAACCACAATTTTTACCTTTTCCAGCCAATTTGTTAATATTTGTGTCGAACTAAAACAAGACAAATAATATGGACGAATGTAATATTTTAAAAAAATGATAAATCCAACAGTTGAAGTGCGTTTGGCACTGCTTGAACGTGAAAGAAAATAATCTGACAATCCAAATTGAAATAAAATATTTTGTTTTCCCTTTGTTTTTACTTTTTTTGTCCCTAAAAGTAAAAAAAAGATATGAAGTAATTTAAATAATGTTTTACCAACCCGATATGTAACAATATGTAGAAAGAATTTCGTTGACAATATTGGAATGTAATAAAATAAAATATCGTAATTGCATAATCACTTCCCTATTTTCATATTGAGAGAATTCATGTTCAAAATAATGAGTATGTTCATTGAGTTATATGAATATGTTAAAGAGTAATTTTTTAAAAAAGATGACATTGACCGTAATTATTTTAATTTAGTGAGGAAGAGTAAAAAAGATGGACCGCAGGATCGTAAGCCCCGTTCTGTTAGTTCCATGAAGAACCACGTGAATAACTGTTTATTCAGCCAAAGCAACACCGGCTGAAGCCCATAGTGCTCCACACACGTCTCAGCACCTCCCAAATATATAGGATAAGACTTCTTCCAGGTGAGCACTCGTTTCCGAGCCTGTATCTCTACAGCATAGGGCCCGGGGACTTTCCTAGACCTGGCCCATCCACAAGGACAAGTTCGGCCCACTCACGTCGCCCTGCGATCAAGTTGCACTAGTTGTTTGTCTCTCCAATTATAAAGAATTTTATTCTCTTCTACCTAAACGGTGTGGGAAAAACAATACACCGTCTAACAGTTTACCATATCATGAATACGATGTGTAACGTACTAACACTAGGCAAACAAAGAAGCGACATTCTGACTTTATTACATATATACACCAACAATCACTATACATGCAGATCTATCTGGCTATGAATGAAATAAGGAGAAGAAGCTAAAGTTTGCCCATTAAGGTCACAGTTTAGCTTCCCTCTGCCATTACCGTAAAAGTGACGGCATTTAACAAATGCTATTTTACATTCCTCTTACTCTGTAGAGAGGATAGATAGGGCAGTCACTGCTTCTTGGATCCATCAGTCGTTTCTTCGGTTTTTGCAAATCTTCCGCGGATTCTCGGTTGACTGTCAGCCAATGCTTTCCGGCAAGCATACTGTCAGGACAAAAAAAACATGCATTACTAACCCTTGTCCTGCTTTCACTATATAACTGCAAGGCATAGACAATGAAGTGAAAAAGACTAGGTTTGATGCCCTTCAAATTTATGTGATTTAGAAATTCTGCTTGTTAACCCATGTGATTAAAAAATACGTATCAAACCCTTTCGTGATATGAAAAAGTTATGGACGTAATATTCTAAATTGAGAAATTTAATATTTTATGTAGTTGGGTAGAGGCTGTAAAGCATGCGCGTTTAATATTTTAATTATAACTACTTCGTATAACATTTGAATGTCCATACACATTCACATGCATGATTAATTCTAACATGAAAGGTGTGTGTTTTAAAGGCGGCTAATTTCGTAGTTGTGCATGGTTGATCATAACAAATATATTTTGGCACGTCTTTTGAATCAAATGAAGTTAAGGAACAGAATTTGTATATAAGAAGAGAGTATGAAGCATTTAGCTCTTTAAATAAGCTTAAATTCATGCAAGATTCTAGGTATGACTTGTGAGTTTCAACCTTAAATTTCCAACCACGAATTGAGTAACCACTGGTTAGTGTTAGACAAGACCAAGGCAGATACTCACCCAAGAAGGGACAAGAAAATAGGTGGGTATAATACCATAAGTTAGTAAATATAGGAGTGTGGGTACCTTGATTTTTCTGCCAAAATTCCTCTTGTTCCTCTTGCTCCTGTATCTAGAGAGCTTTTCTTTTCGAGCTTCAGAAATGGAGGTAGTGATAATCTGATGTTGTTGACCTCCCAGTGGAGAGTGGATGAGGCTATTACCCAGTGTCTGTCATAAAAACTCAGTATCAATGAGCCAGCCCCATCCCTGTTCAAACATCACCATCTATACAATTCTCAGTTTGTAGGCTTCATTATTCAAGCAGTACGAATGTGTTGCTAAGAAGGGAGAGATTTTTAAGCGATTCGGTAGTTAAATTCATAAATAATTAGTGAGAGAGGGTCCAAGGCTTAATGTTCAGGCTTTTGCCTACCAAACACTGACTTATTTCATTCTGCTGGCAGATTCAGTTGACAATTAGAAAAATGGTGCATGGGTTACCTTGTTGATCGAAATGACATAAATGGTTGGAACTGAAACTATAAATTCTTATTTAGTTGCAACAGTTTGACTATTATATTGTCGACACAGAACTTTACCCAATAATATATTGAACTGACTGGTTTATACTTTTCATAATATGATTTTTACTAATCAAAAGTTAAAACATGGGGAACTTAATCACTCCAATATAAAAAAAAAAAATTGGCGCTCAAGCTTGAACACGAAATATAGGCCAACTTGAGCCTAGGGTGATTGAATTCAGCTCATTTCTGGCTAGTAAATGGATCAACAAGTCTACAAGAACATCGCTTACCCGGAAGATTAAATATTATTAGTTCTTCATTTCGAGGCTTGACTTTTGTTAGCATAGGTAGGATCTCCTATACTTAAGGTCAAAAGTTGGAATCCTTCCCCCACTAATCTAACAATGAAATGCCTATCAAAGTACACACCCTTCAAAGCTTCTGTCACCGCAAAAAAAGAGTAATGTTTGTAACCAGTATATTACAAACAAGGCTCATTTTTTACGATGGAGGTAGCATAAGAGTAAGTTTTACCATGTGTCTGAGGTTGGATGTGAGCTTTACAAATCTCTTCCTCGTTACAAATCTTTTTTTCATTTAATGGAGAATGATAGATTCTTGATTTAAATGCCCCTACCGAGGTAAAAGTGAGTGAAAATTGATGAAAACGATGCAAAACAATATGTTAGCAATTGAATGTAACCTTTATGTCTCCTTCACTGAAGGACCTTCTCATACCATACACAGCATTAAAGTCCAATCCAGGAAAATTGAGAAATTTCGGCTTCATTGGCCCCCCACATTGTATCCACTCCATGGAACATAAAGACTCTGAACTACCGCTTTTCTGAAACAGGTCCTTGGAAGTCAACCTTTCCTCACCCGTCAATATTTCGTCATTATTAGCGGAAATGTTGTTGGAGTAAGGCTTGGATGTTGTTGTATTAGCGGAAATGTGAATGCCAACATCTGAAACCTCAGAGAATGGAGTATCTGTAGACTCCTTTTCCAAAAGAACTTCCTTGCATCCATAGAAAGCATCATTGAAGAATGGTTCGCTATCAAATGATGATTCAATATCTAACAATTTAAGTTCATGGGACATGACATCATCTGTGCAAGAAATCATTGAAATGGCAGCTGTCATTGGATCGAGGTCAAACAATGGTTCTTGAATAAGTGTCTCTGGAGCATTAAAGAGGTCTATTTCTCCGCCAAGGTCGTAATCCGATATTGTAGACACCTGTATAGAGATCATGCACCGATTATAGTATAAGTTAAGAATATTGGGAATTGAAGCCATAGAGGTGGAGTATGAGTTTAGACTTTAAATTGTCTACACATATGTTAAGAAGTTCATATCACATAAATTGTCTACACACCATCATATGCTACTATAGATTATAGGTAGAGAACATTAGTAATATGAAAGAGGGGAGTTTAACGAGTGAATCTAATTGCTTCCCGGCAAATACTGTCTATACCAATCTTGAAAAATAAACACAACCCACTCACAAAGTGGAAGTTTGAAAATGAAAAAGACGTAACACAATATATACAGATGAAGCCACCATTTTCAATTATAGATAACCTATATGGAAAGGTGGGAAGGCCAAATAGACAGTTCTTTAGTCTCCAAAAGGTAAAAGAGAAGTGTTCACCAGAGCACTCAGATTGCACTAAGAAAACTGTGCAACTCCACCTCTCTTTCAGAGTTGAAGAAAATAAAAGGCTGTGTCTTTTTGTAAAAGAAACACCATTTACTAATTATGTAGTCCCACTATCCAGCTACATATCTTTATCACTAAAAAAGTCAGCTTTGCTTTATAGATTATTCCATAATGTGGATTTTTTTTAAATGCATGTCTCCAGGACCTTTCACCCTGAATATTCTCATGGGGCCAGAACTAAACGACCATGTAAAATTCTAGTAGCCCTCCAAAGGACTCAAACTAGTTATCTTATAGAACTTTCTTTTCCATAATGAGTGTTGATCTTGTAACGAAACATGAGTAATAAAAAACTCTCCATAAATAACTGCCTCATGAAAGTTAGTGAAAAGTATATAATGTTTTAATCTTAATTTTCTCTCTCTAACACTAAATGCCTCTACGAAATGATGGATCACCTGAGCAAACCGATTTTTGATTTATTAAGCTTGAAATTCAGACATACCAAGATCCATATAATTGTTTTAGTTTAATATGTTTTGACGTTTGATACACTATTAGGCCTAAGATTCTTATCCTTAAAGTTAACCATAGTGGGATAGCTCATTATAATTGATATTAAGGTGATGAATGATGATGATCCATAAGTGAAGTAAAATATGAATCCTAACAAGAACTGGGTTCCAAGTTCTAACTTCCAAATAATTAATGCAACATGAGAAAAATAGGAAGTCATAGCCACTTGTCTACTTGTTGGAAATGTTGGGAAAACAGAAGATTCCACACGGAACTGATGATTGTGATATATCATATTTACCTTGAAGTCGACGATCCATCAAGTCCATCAATGAAATCAGATATTTTCTATTAATAATTACAAATGATTTAATACAGAAGCATTTATAGTAAATATATTGGAGAACTCAATTTTTGTTTCTTTTCCTCATCTAAGTCAATCAGATGACTAAAAAATATATATTTTGTTTTGTTTTGCTTTGTTTTTTTACTGGGATTTCTTTTAGAAATTGGAAAAACCAATCAAACTAACCAACCGCATATCTGTAAATGAAGTAAACCCATAACCTCAAATCTGGAGAAGAAGATGAAAACAGAAACAAACACTCAGTTTAAACCTCAGAGTAAAAAACAGATCCTCAGCATACAAGTTCAAAATTTTAACTCGTAGTATTACTGGGATAAATGCTGATTGAGTAATACAGCAAATAATTGGATCCCAGTAATTATAAATTAAAAAAAAAAAGGATGTTTGTGAAGGAATAGGGGTTATCACCATTGAAGCAATGGGTTTCTGTGAGCAACAGAAATCTTCAAGCTGCTGAACATCTTGAGAAAAGCTCTGGAAGTATGGGAAGATTGGCTCATTTTCTGCATACATTTCTCCCTATCCCCCCTCTCTCTATTTCTACTCCTAATCGAATGAGAGTCTTGGTACAATCAGAAAAGGGGAGCTTTTATTGAGTGTAAAATGGAAGCTAGAAAACAAAAAGAGAGCGAAAGTGATACCAATAGGGAGAGAGAGAGAGAGAGTGCAGGAAGAGTGCACTAGCTTTGAGGCGTTGAGCACCTCTGTGCGTTTTGTTTTAAGAATGTTTTCTATATCTAAAAAATGTTTTTCTGCTTTTTTAAAAGGCTAGAAGCAACAAGCATAGCGGTGATAGCGACAGGAGGAGGTGTTTTAGACTTATTTCACTTTTCTAATACACATAAATGATAATTTTCATCTCCCTACCTTTGATTTATATAAAATATTTTTCTTTATAAACATTACTACGTACTAACTTTTATAAATAAATATTATTCATACTATCTCTAAAAAAAATCTTGAAATTCAAAATAGAAACAATGCAAATACTCGTCCCTGTACGAAGGGGATGATTTTTCTTTTCGAAAGTGCTTTATTTTATATGGAAAATAACTTGAAATAATACAAACTATCTTTCATGAATCAAGAATAATACATACTTTAGAAATTACTTTTAATAATAACAACTATCCAAACATAGACCAAAAGTGATATAGAGCAATTTTTCAATGAAAATTCAGTTATTTAATTCATCAAAAGGTAGTATCAAAATATCAAACAAGTGATTGTATTTCCAAATATCATTTAATAGATAGTTTGATATTAGATTTTAATTTCTTAAATGATTGGATTTCTTGATGAAAAGTGGACCCATATTATTTTTGTTTTATATGCAAATAGTTGGTATTATTAAAAATCATTTTCAAAGTATGTATTATTCTTTATTGATGAAAGATAGTTTGTATTATTTAAAGTTATTTTCCCTATTTTATATAAAGAGAATTACCTAAATAGGACTAAAAGAGATTGATAATTTTAAATTTACTTTTAAAAAGAAAGTTGATAATATTAAAAAGAAAAGTATTTTTTAAAGAAATATTAATTTTATTAAGAAAATTTGATAAATTTATATTAATTGTTTGGTGAAGAAATAATTTTGTTATCATAGTTAGTTATATGTAATAGAATAAGTGGGAAAGTAGTTTAAGAGATCATTTCAAATCTTACTTATTTTTAGCTTTAATGTGCTCAAATGAAACAGAAATGCCTATTTGAAAATATCACTTTGAGGTTATAAGAAAAGAGCGGAAACTAATTTTAATAAATCGAAAATGCTTCAAAAAAAATTGTTCCAAGTTAGAGCTTTGTAATTATGAATATTTCAAAAATAAATTTTGCAAGATGGATGGCGTTTAAAAGTGTTTTTGTTTATACAATTATACGAGGTATCTTTAAACCAAAGCCGCAGTTGTACTTTTCAAATTATCTTTTATTTTGATTAAAAATTCTACTTGGCTCACGGATAAACGTGCTATAGAAGAGGCGGCCTATGTTGCAACCTAAAAGCCTTTACATTGACTTTGCTTTGGTCCAAAAAGGTTGAATGCCCAACCCAAGCCTTCATCCCGACCCGACATGATGGTGAGGAGGTTAATCACGGTTACTCAGTCAGCAAAACGGCGGTAGACCTTATACACGTGCGCACCAGAGGTCCAGCCTTATTTCAGGTTTCGAACTTTGGTCACTTGGTCCAATTTTCCCATCACTTGACCATCTGAGCTACTCGTGCGGGTAAACTTTGCTTTCCTCAACATGGCCTAAGGAAGACTAAATTTATAAAATATTCTCCTCGGCCACAACTTCAAAGAAGGGGACATCATAAAATCATACGGGCTAACCGAGATTGATCGAGTTTGACACGGATCATAAAATATTTGGCATGACACGAAATTTGACATGAATTTGACGTATAGGTGTTAAATATTGTATAAATTTTGAAGAACTGAGTATTACACAATTAAGCACGTGAAATCAAAAGTTAAATATTTGATACAAATTTGATTGATAAAAATGGCCGAGATTAAAAATGGCTCTTGCATTTCTTCACCAGGAGTGACTCATGGCTTTGCTCAAGTCGTCTGTTCAATGTCTGGTTGTCGGATTTGGATGAGAGATCCTCCTACTTTCATTACTCATGTAGTAAACAGTGATTTGATTAATAATAATTAAATTTGTTTCTTTCAAAAAAAGATGAAAAAGGAGCCATCTTCTTGTGTGAACTATATATATAGTATACGAAGAATTATTTTATGCCCTTAAAACCTCTTTGGCTCTTTCGATTAATGCGTCTCTTTTAAATACATTGAAATCGATGTGCATGCTTCACCGGCACAAAGAAGTTACAAAATGTAAGTATAGAACAAAAATGGACCAGTTTTTATCAATATCTATAACTCGAACTTTGTGTGCAATAAACCATGAAAATATCTGAATTGATGTCGCATTCTTTCAATCCACTTTTTGGCTGATATGATATGATATATTGATATATGAACATTTTCTTGTGAATGGAATATAATTTGGCCTCCAGAACGTTGGGAAGAATATTCAAAAATTGATCCTGGCCGACAGGTGTGAGGCCCTGACCTTTTGTCATACTCTGAGTGCCAGGCTGAACATTTTTGTTCATGTAAAATCCCAATCATGCACAAAAATAACCTCAATAATTCACTAGCCCCCTCAGAAAAAGGAAACCCGTTTCTCCCCCCAAAAGATGAGCACACCATCTTCCATCCCTCCATGCCGCTTACCACTTCATCCTTGATCCTCCTTCCGCTGAATTTAGTCGGCGATCGCTCACCGAGTTTGACCTAGGGGTGATAATTGGTCCGGTATGGGTCAGGTTTTTGCTAAACACGAAAATTAGTCTTGAGTTATGAAAATTAGGGACCGGAACAAAGCTCATTATATTCGGTCCGAGTCAGGTTTTAGGTAGCTCGGGTTCGGTCCGGGTTCGGTTTGAGCCGGTTAAAGCTCGAACGTTAAATTATCTCATTTTTGTTTTATATTTTAAAACTTATTTTTAAATAAAATTAATCAAAAATACAAACTGCAAATAATAATACAAATATTAGTCTCCAAAATCACCAATTACAAACTGCAAATAATAATACAAATATTAGTCTCCAAAATCACCAACAATTCAAACCCAACAAAGATAATTACCTTAATAATTTGTTTAAGATGCATATAAATAAATAATACGGATTACTGATTTTCTAAAAAAAATCACTAAATAAAATTTGTGGATAAAATGTGACTAAAGTCACTATAAATATATTTTCATGATAATTACAGTATACAAAATTGAACATATTTGTAGTTGCTAAAAGTTACTAGGTCATTTTTTCACCCACCATGATTATAATCATATATTACCACTTATTTATAAATTAGATTTGTATATATTATTGATTTTATAATAAAGTTAATTGTTTCGGGTTTTTACAGTCCGGGTTGGGTTATAGATTTTATTTTTCGGGCTGGTTAAAATGAAAAAAAAACGGACCGGGATTATGATTCGGGCCATATCAGGGTCGGTTTGCAGGTTTCAGTCCGGTTTTTCCCACCCCTAGTTTGACAAGTGGAATAAGTAGTCGGATTTCAAAAAACCATTTGGTAATGTCGTTCGTCGGTGGTCGTAGATGGGTCCTGTAGCGGCTGCGATCAATCTATCATATTGTTTAATCACTAAAGTGATGCCATTTGGGATCAACACACCTTGCGCACAGTGAACCGATCCACGGTATAGTTTGCTCTTATTGCATTTAATATTTCTAGACATCACATATTCTTCATTATAGCGAACGAAAAGAGAAAGAATAGAATGAAATATATTTTGAAGTGAGATGTAATAATAGTCGTGAATTTGTTCTTTTAAAACAAGTGACAATTTTTTTACAAAACTAAATTAGACAAGGGGATAGTAATAAATGAGTAAATTCTAACAGTAAAAATGAAATGATTTTCATTAGATAAGAGTAATTACTCAAGGTTAATAAGAGTAAAGCACTGCCATCTTCAAATCATAATGGGATTATCGCTTATCAGGAAATTATTATGACAATACTAATGTTTTATTTTAAAACAAAAAAAAAGTACTGTCCTTGTACTCCAACTTAGTATTTAGGAAAAATAATACGTACCCTTTTTGTCGTTATTTTGGGCACTTCTAAAATAAAATATGGGTAGCAACTAGCAACTGATACATCGTTACCATTATTGTGGAATGTGGACTAAAGAAATTGCGCCAACATCTATATATTAATAAATAAATAAATAAATAAATAAATAAGTCATTGTTTTTGTTTGTTTAGTGAGTAATCATGTGTCCACTCAAGAAAGGGCCAATCATATGTTCACTCAAGGAAAGACGGATGATAGTTACGGAGTAACCAATAGAACATAATTATCCAATTATGGGCAGGAAATTCCTGACTCAGCCCCCCATACATTGGGACGAAACTTACTACCTCCGGTTGGATTTGTGCTTGGGAAATAAGAAAAGTAAAAATTGTGTGGTTGAGATTTGTGCAGAGGAGAAAAAATGCATGTGCAGAATCACAAATTAGTTACTTTAATTAGAAAGTGACAAAGTTTTTTTGGGACAACCAAAAAAGGAAAGTTGACAAAATTCAATGGGACGGAGGGAGTATATTCTATGAGAAAAATTGTGCAAGACAACTTAGACTTCATCCCATGCATATTACTCTCTCTGGTTCCAAAAAATCTTGACACTTTGACTTCAATGTTTTTAAGGAAATAAATACTGTTCAGCACTGTTTGGCACTGTTCAGCACTGTTTGGCACTGTTTTGTGTAGATTTATTTGTCAAATAAGGCAAATAAGGAAGTGTAAAGATCTTTCTGGTACTACAAAAAATGGAAAGTGTAAAGATCTTTCAGAAACGGGGTATTACGAGAAGTGCATGATTTAGGGATATATGCAATGTTGTCATCTTACACATAAAGTGACCAGCCACTTGATATAATTAAGATGGGAGGGAGCAGTAATCTGGTCATTACTTCTTGGACACAGCTTCTTTGGGCAGGGAAATGACACATGGGGTTGTGGGGCACGTGACTCAATTCGGACAACAGTGTAGCACAATACGTCAACGCAACTTGCCTACTTGTTGTGCTCATGGGCTTGGTTGGTCGGATCCTGACCCAAAACCAAATTTCCAATTCGGAAAAAGAAATGGTTTTGTATACAAAAGCGCAGAACCATGTCAACAAGGGGATGTAGCTCATATGGTAGAGCGCTCGCTTCGCATGCGAGAGGCACGGGG